CTTTAAACGTACCACACTATACCCGAGTCCGAGAGTAATGTAGAAAATAATCTTATTTATAATTTTTGAATTACATATGCACACAAACCAGAGCACTAAAATAGACAGACATAAACAATAAAATATGCAAATATCTATAATAATAATCATACATGCTAAACATTCCATATTAACGAATTATAAATGGCAGTTGGTACATTACCTACGTAAAAACTGGATGACCTATTTTTAAGGTGCGACGTAGTCTCGTTTGGAACCACCGAGATWTAGCCATGTATCCTAATACAKCATATCTACATATAGTGACTACTATACGTGATATTTATAACTGCATCCTTAAGACTTAAGTTGTTATGTTTTACGGACAAGACTCTAGTGAAGTACTTTTTAAATATATTCGTAATAATCTATACACTATCCGAATAAATTATACTCGAACACTTTATGGTAGGTACCTATATATAATCGTAAAAATTACCATTCATAATCATAGGTACTTAAAAGTTAAAATATTATAGGACATTTTCATCAATTTAGTATTATCGTCGTCCGTCGATATTATTATAATATCATTTATAGGTTAAAGCCCTAATTTATTTTATTATTCAACATTTCGAAATATTATGGCAGAGAATATATTTGCAATGAGTGAATGTAATAATATATTTATGATGATTGCAACTTTCCTACTACTGTCTTGTCTGAAAATGTTTCCTCAGATTCTAAACCATTTATGCCATATGTATATATATATATATATGCATATATATACATATATATATATATATAACCGACATATGATTGCCTGCATTCTTTGGTTTAAAGATCCATTATTAAATTGGTCCCCTGAACSCTATCTATAAGACACTTTTCAATTCTCAAACTTCAAACATTATAGTATTGATAACTGTTATAAATATCATGGGACATAGCTAGGGTGTATATTAAGATAGGTACATTGATCCCCTAAACAAAAATTATTCCGAAACGTCCTTAACGTATGGAAAAACACACTTGGAGAAACAAAACACTCATTAACTYAAAACTTTTCAAAACCATCGGTATTGATACCAATAATTAAAATAAGATAACTAATAACTATGTAAACATGTTTATAATTTAAAAAATAAGCATGCATATATTTAACTGTAAATGCAACATATAGTAATTCAGTTAAGTAAATAAACTAACCAATTAATGTTAATGTATATATAATTGTAGGCTAATGATCTAGTTGTTGAAACTTAGTAGTTCTACTCAATAAAAAAAAAAATACACTGATATCGATATGCAATTACATTTTTAAAACATAACTATTTTAGTCTATTTTAAGCGTTAATATAAAATACTTAAATTTCACATAAATAAATCATAAATAATATCTTATTAATAATATTTTATCAATAAATAATACTGAATATATTAATATGATGCTAATTCCCAAACTGTATCAGATTAAAAATTACAAATTTACCATGAATTTAATATTTTAGTATTTTTTTTATTATTATTATTATTATTCTCTCCCCACTTATTCACAGTGAAAAAACGGGATAAATTAAATGTTAAATTTACCTATTAGTAATTACGTAACTTTTGCCATAGTAACGACATGTTAGTTCATTCATTGTCAAAAGTTAAACCATTACATAATTTAAACGTGTTATTAGATATAGTAAACGTTGCCGAACAGTATATAGAGTTATACGCTACTGTATAGACTCTTGAAGTTTATCCAAAAGCTGATTGCGGGTTGGCTATAACATTTAACCTTTATGRTACTTTAGCACTAATCTACTGCCAATATACCTATTTATGGGGTGCGGGTTAATACTGTATATTATATAGGTACAGTGAAACCACTAAATACTGGATACTCTCCGTCGTTTAAATGTCGTCTGCTATTTGGAGGTGTCCGCTATTGAGAGGTGTCCATTAAAGTAGGTTTTACTGTATCAACAWAAATGATATCACAGCGAAAACCCTTACACCTCATGGAAATGTCGAATTTTAATGATATTATTTTTTTATTTSAGATATGAAAACTTTTTTTAGGTCAGGTCAAAGCTTGAATTTTTATGTTACTTTAAATATTGACAGAAAAATACGTTTAAAAAATTAACAAATATTGTGCGAAGTATTAAAATGCATATTTTAACTTTTATAATTAAAATTTTGAAGATTAGGCTTTGAACCGACCTGCGAAATGTTCTCGTCGTCTTTTAAATAAAATAAAATATTCAAAATCGAACTATTCTACAGAGAGTTAGAGTTTTTTCTGTAATGTTTTTAATGTTTTTATATTAGAAATACATCGGCTCTGTCGTTGCCCTTAAGCACTTTCTCCGATTTCTACCTATATGGCTGTCAATCGACGCATATGCAAATATTTAAACTATGGACATGATGGATTTTTAAGCATGCTCACGTTATGCGTAAAATTGAAATTCTAATTTTTGGAATTTTGAAATTTACTTGTAACTTATTTATATTTTAAAATTATTGAGATATTTGTACAACTTAAGGTTAATCCTTTGACAATACAAACTTCTGTTTATCATRTATTGGATACTTTATTTTTTATTAAATCCAACTCTCTTTTTTAGTTTTAATTATTAAATAGATATAGATAGATTATTAGTAAGAATTTTGATGAATTTAAATCGAAATTAAAGGCAGTAGTTTTTGTCTTTTTGAGTTACATAACTTTGTGTACCAATACGTTGTCTTGTCTATATGCCTATATGGCAATGAATTTAAAAAAAAAATGATATCTTAGATGATTTGAATAAGCTAGGAATTACTAATATGATTTACCAATAAAAATAATCCAATACATTTTAATAACTCTGAAACTACTCATTATAGTTTAGATTTAGATACATCAAAATTTTCAAAAAATATATCCGCTAAATAATTTGCGATAAAAAAGGTTTTTAATTTGAAAAGTTGTTTAGTTGTATATTTKTAAGCAACCATAGGACACTCACACTCCTATTGATCAGTACAAGAAATTTCGAAAATTATAAATATGGTTTATTTTACTATTTTAGGTGTCTACTTGAAAATTTTAAAAATCAGAATTAAAACCAATGTACTGTTAAAGGAAAATTGGGAACAGGGAGATGTATAAGCATGCTTAAAAATATAAAAACCCTATCGTATATCACGTCGGGTCGTGCCATATAGGCGGTTACAACCATGCATACGCGGAATGTGAGAAGCAAACCTGCATAATATTGTTCTTATTGTTGTGTACGTGATTCGTTGTCGACATTGTTTCGTTTCGCGGGAGAAAAATTATTAAAAATACAATAACAATATTATACGTGAAGAACGGTGCCTAGCCCGGCGAAGGGTTGCAGGAGTAAAAACGTAAGAGTGTGCCGCCTCTATAGCCAGGTACTCTCTAGGTCGACCCACCCGGTTTTGGCGGCATCGTCGCGCCGCGGTGAGATAATATGCACCGCGGGCGGGCGAAGGCCCTCGTTTCGTATTATCGCGATATTAATTCGATTCCCAGCTTGTGGTAATAATAATAATAATATATTCTCCATCGGCAAAATGTGTACCGCACGCGACTCATTCTGTAGATTACATAAATATAATGAATCGACGGTTATTACACGGGTGTTATAATAAATAACGATATTATTATTGTATTTCGGGTGTCCGGAAGTTACGGGTAGGTCAGGTTACGGTGTACAGAGGTGATTTGGGGGTGCTTTAACGCCACCAAAATTCATATTAGCATTCCCAATTTTTTAATATTATCGTTGAATTTGTATTGGTTATATACTTATATAGTTATATATTATTATGTCATATAGGCATTGAGAAATCAAGGTACATTTTTTCSTATGACTGTTATTTTAATTTTCATAGCAATATTATTTTAAAGATAATTGTTTACATTAAGATTTTATTTTTAAGGAGTTATGTTTTGGCAACATTTTCATTTTTGCAGTTATCACTTTTCCTCATTGTGTGTGTAGTAATTACAAAATCACCATTATTATTGTGTGTTGGTACCATGTATATACTTACCACCATTCATCCATATTATATGCAACACATTACATTTACTCATTAGATCAAAACACCTATATTCGGAATCAATATATGGAATTAAAATAAGCATACGCCTAAAAAAATGTAGGTAAGTTCTTCCAGAGATCCTATTTAAAAAAAAAAATKTAATGATGTTTGAATCCATAAAAAATACATACCTAGGTAACTTTGCATTGGTCAGAGCACTTTTTCAATTTTAGCACACTATTGACTATATTGAAAATAATGAATAATGCAATATAGGTACTCCGACGGATGCGAGGTAAGCTCTTTGGATCCTTAGAAGTACCTTAATTTTTGTTAGTCGTCACAAGATTGTCTTGATGAAAAATTGATAATTGGTTTGCATCATGGTAAAATGTGTCGGCCTGATGATAGTATATGATGAATGGTGGGGTGTGTGTGGGAAAGTCCCCCTACCGCATATGGGACACTTTAGCCGACATAAATCTATAGCACCTCCACGGAGAATTTAAACAGAGTTTCGTTTACATTACGGCGGAGAAAATCCCCGCGGATAGAAGATGACGTGTGTGACCTACCGCCTGACTCTGCACGGTAGCATCTCACTGGAGGCTTCGGAGGGTACCGCCGAGCGTACGCCTGTTTGCCGACTGCGAAGAGGGCACGGCGGCGGACCATCTGCACGACAACGACGATGACGATGTCCACCGCCGCCGCCGAGACCGTCTACCGTAGCGTCTCTCGGTGACCGCGTGTACGTCAGTGGCGGCGGCGGTGGCGGTCGCCGCGATGCGGTCGAGGTCACATTTTTGTCTTTGGCCGTCGACGACGCCGCGTCGGCGGCCGGTTTCGTGCCATCCTCCCCACCACCACGCGACGCCGACGGCAGCGCTCTCTCCGGCGAAAAATATAAATAATAATAATAATAATAAATGTGTGTTGTACGACGTCCGCGCGCGTTATCACGTGTCCGCCGCGCTGCACCGACCACGACCGCCGCCGACCAGGATTACTCGAATTGTGCTCAGTACGCATACGGCCGCCGCCACAGATTGTCGTGTTAGCCGAGTCGAGCGACAACATTCGCACCGCGTCTTTTGCTCTTCATTTGCGCGCCTACACGATTTCAAATCATAAAAAACTCGCGTTTCGGGATTTTTTTATTTTGCTCGCGACCATATACCACGCAGACGATCATTACCGACCATGCGGCCGATTTCCCGCCGTTGACCACGGCGCGATCAAACTTTACCGCCCCCCTCGAACACCCCCTCCTACTTGACCACCGGGCCGTTTTGAAAATATTATAATATTCGTTTCGTTTCGTTTTTTGTATTTTTAATTTTTGATTTTTAAATTCGCGCACGTCACACAGCCAACGAGAACAACATGACCGCCAGCAACGGGTTCATCATCGGCGACGGTTCTTGGAACCTGCAGATCTACGTGTCCGATCTGCAGGTGGAACGGACGCTGCGCGTTAAGGGTGATCTGCACATCGGAGGGGTCATGCTAAGGCTGGTCGAAGATTTAGGTAAGTCGACGGAATCTTATCTTTACGACTCAATAATAATAATACAATATAATGATATACCTTTAAGAAACCTCACWTTACAAAAACTCTCACTTTACGTGAACCCGGTTACTGTACCTATGTAGGTATACCATATTTGGTAGTAGGTAGGTACGAGTAGTTGGTATTGCATTTTTTTTTTCCAATAACAATAAGTATCGTTTTCAGTGTTTTATAAACGTTTACCGTTAAATGACGATCAACATGAATCTAAAAAAGTTAATTGTTTATCAACGTGAGTCGTTAAACTAATAACCTAAAAACATCTGATCGTTAATAGTGTAATATACTTATTATAATAATGAATAAAGATGGAACTAGGAGGTCGATTTATATTAGGAATAGATACGTTCAAAATCATTCATCTAAAAAAAAAATAGGTATACCTCGATGGATATATTGTATTTTTGAATTACCTATGCCCCAAAATTAAAAATACTTATTGGATTAACTTATATTTTAAATACCCAAAGCTTTGCGTTTAATTTCATGACTCAATAACTTCATGATAAATTAAGAACGGTTACTAAAAAAAAAATAAACGTTTTGTTTATTTGGCTTAAAAAAGAGTTGAACGAGTCATGTGGCGCGCAATGCAAACATATTATACCTGTTGGCTGTGATGTTAAATTTAGTCTACATAATTTCTCTAAATCTCTCACTACACTAAGCCAATTCATTAAGAACTAATGATTTCAGTTAATTGATTAATTCTTAAAAATATATAAACTATTCAACTTTTAAATTTAAATTTTTGATCGTTATATAAAAACAGGGTTTACTTATTATTATTAAATTTAAATTATCTTGGGTAAATCAAACAGATTCAAAGCTGGTTTAACACCTAATTGATATTATTAATATACCATTTGGCTAGAATATTTTCCTATCATTTCGAATCGTTGATAGTTGTAGTCTTTATATATAGCCATTTATGTAAAATTATATAGAATAAAGAAATACTAAATACAATTGATCCAAAATGTATTTTTACTTTTACTTTATTACTTAACATGTAATATTTATAGTTTAGTCAATAATACCTATTATGCTAATTTGTTTTTAAATAAACATTGTTTATATTAATCCCGAAATAAATTTAAAATTCTAAAATTCAATAAACGGACATCATAAAAATGTTTTACTGCATTTCATGGTTCTATATTTGAGATTTATGTTAATTTTATTGTAAATCTACCAATCGCTATACAGCCTTAAACTAATGAAACAACTTCATAGAAATAAGTAAAACATTACATTTGTTTTCATTAATTACCATTTACCAATGTCTTTATTATTTATATTTGCCATTAAGCACGGTTTAGTATAATAAAACATACGTATGCCAATATTACTATTAGTAAAGTTATTAGTTATTAGTTATTACTTACTTGTTATTACCTATTGGCTATTAGCAATTACATAATTTATATTATAATTGTTCTACTCGGAAGTTTTTCGTTTTGTGTATTATCACTAATAATCAGATAACATATAAGGATACTTAGAAATGTACACGAATGTACAATATGTATAATTTTCTACGAACACCGATAATAATACAACTATAATAATATTATTTTAGTAGCTACCATTCATGATATTATGAGTTATTGTATTATAGTCTATTCCCAATAATTATAGTTCATATTATAGTTAGATTATATTATAATATAAATTGCAAAACAGAACATGTGGCAGATTTGTATCTGAAGACGTTTTATTAAGCAGCATAACAGTGTTAAATAATGTTTCATTTTTTGTTATATCCTACGCATTCAATTTTTATTTCTTTGTTTAAGTGTACTTTATTTTTTCCTTTATTTACAYATTTATATTATGTTTATCTTTGGTTTTCGTTGTACCTACTCTTGAATTATTATTATTATTGTGACACTTGATTAGTAACCGATTGTCATCTACCATAACTGGAATCAAAATTGTTATGCTGGTCTAGTCGTTAATTCACCTTTTTGGAATTATGTTTAAATCAACAAAAATTTRACTTATGTACTATGCATTTAAAAAAACAAATTCGAATACAATAGACTCATAAAGTCTTAGTATACACATGTATATAATATAATAAGCTTATAAGTCATAAAGTGTTTTGACAATGCATGTTTGAAAAAAATTTWAAAAAAAAACAGTAAATAATTATATGAACATTACCTGTGAGTTGTACTTATAATAATATTGTACTTTATATGCCAGCGACTACTATATTGTATTGGTGTACAAGTTTGTTTATTGTTAGTTTATTTTAATTTGTCATTATTTCATAGTAATATAATGTTTCTCGTTATACATTTTCTCTACTCTACAAATCAAGTTAATTTAAAAAATAAATTAAAATTGTCAACTATTTTATTATTGACTGAAATTATTTTGGTGTTTCTATGAGCAACTTGGGCAAGTCTCAACTCGATTAGATTAACTTTTTTTATCTGAATTTAACACACCACAAATTAGAGAGGACATATACGTGAAATAAGTACCTAAATTGAGGTTAAGATCTGTACTTGAAACGAAATGATGGATTAAAATCTACAACAAAACATTACAAATACTTRTTTGCATTAATGTCTTATCTAGACTGTCCGAACAATATATAATATATTATATTTTCTAACTATATGCGTATATACGTTCAAAACCRAGTTGTTTATTAATTTTATAACAAAATGTTAAGAAAAAAAGAACCGAAAGAATGCGGAGGGAAAATACGTAGAATTATGTTRGCGGCAAGATTGATTGTAGACTGAAAAAAACATGCAGAAATTTAAATCTGCATGGTCAGCTTCATCATCGCCTTGTTATTATTTGTTACATACCGAAAGCCTGCGTGTACCGATACGTGTTTATTTTCATTATGATAAATTTACGACTTCTTGGTCACTGCGAACACGCACCTAAACGAGAATATACTGTTATATATATGTAGTTCCCCCGCGGTAATAACACGATATTATAATAATTATTGTTAATAAGATATTTTTTTTTTTAAATATTTTTCGTTGTTCTTTCGTTTTATGATCTATTACTGTCATTGTCAACTCTTAGCGATGACAACACGATTTTCTTACAATAATTATACTATTTTTCCAATCTCGCATCATCTTGTGTTTTACAGAACAATAATTAAAGTAAACACGGCACTAGCCGTAGGAGGAATTTATTGTTTGTTTCTCGTACGGGAAATGAACTAACCAAACATCATAAAAATAAAAACAAATTTATATTACTAGTTACTTATATACTTTAGTCACTATACCGTTAACCGTGTTTGGATTGCTTTGAACACTTATTATTTGGTCGATTGCCGTAAAATTGTGTCGGCTCCTTAAAACAGAAATAGCATCTATAATCTATATGAACGTTAAAGTTTTTCTTAGTCAAGCATCATACAGGCGTTTATTATACGCATATGCCATTTTTTTAAATGTCACCTACAGCCTACGTCATCGTATTTTTTTTTTATCTTTAATCTTTGAAAATTAAATTTTTAAATTTTAACTTATATTTTTATATGAGTATATTATCACACTAAGACCAATTAATATACTATATTTTGGTTTTGTAGTATTTCCGTAGTTTTAGTTTATTCGTGGAACGGATAAAACTCACAAAGTGCTGTATACTCATAAAATATTCATATTGCATTGACACAATATGTCACGTAATATATGATAATTTGTATTCAACTTTAATAGTCTTTAAATTGTATTATTTTATATGTTTAATTAACAATGCAGGTTTTAATCGTGTGTACCTAATAATACTACCTACAAAATTATGAGTATCTACTATCAGTAGTACCTATATAATTGCAATATGATTTGTTTTTAATTTAGTATAATTTAGCTTACTACCTATACTGAAACATAATATGACTTGTTATATTTGACTAAACTTTACTTTTACAGATTTATAATAATTTATGTTGTGCATAGGTGCCTATTGCCTATATATGTATAATTATTTATCTTTTATTATATTTAATGAAATGATTGTTTATTTAATATTGTTTAATATTGTTTATTAGTATTTATTTATGTTTAATCTATATTATTATTACCTATATAGTCTATAGGTTCATTATGATAAAATAATAACGTTTCGAAACCTATAGTATATGATAAACGATAAACGTATAGTGCGTTTATGTATACATAATGTGACTACTAATTACTTATTATATCATCTTCCCTTCTTCCCCTCATTTTCATGCATTTTTAACAATGCATCAAATGTGTAAAGTCTAATCACAACAGATGTTTCTTATTGTCCAAAGTATACCAATTTTGTATTGAATTGGATACTAATTTGTTTTTTTTTCATTAATAGTTTAGGTTTACTATGTACCTAATTGGTACATTTGTAAAATACAGCTTATACAACTGGAGTATATAAGTATACATCGCTAGTATACATTATAATAAAACTATAATAATTTATAAATATTTATTTATGAATGAAAAAAAATGGCAGGTAGGTAAGTAAAGATTATCGCAATTACGTCTTAAATTGCTGTAGGTACCTAAACTTAAAATAAAATATCAAAAAGTAATAATCAGTAATCATTCAAAATAGTATATTATAATATGAATAATGTTGTGATACTTTCATAACGGTTGAAGTATCACAAAAAAAGAAAGGATTTGTATTTGTATATAGTAAAGAGATGAACAACAAAGTCGTTTGTATGATAAATTATTATGAAATTCTCTGAGATATTATGATTATTTTTTAGAATATAATATTTATAGTGTCAGGAATTTGGACGCAATAATTTGATCAAATATTACAGTTTTAACCAATAATTTGATTTTCTTTTGTACTACGCTAAAAACGCAGTTATCACGGGACCATCTAATGTCACGTGTCGGATGTGCGGGAGTCTGTGGGAAGTTATCTTTGAACAAGGATTGATTTTAAGTGGCGCCCCGTGTCGGGCGCCG